CACAATGATCTTGGCCTTGGCCTCCCCTCTCTCAACATACAAGTTATTCCTCTCCCAGGCCTAAAACCAAGCTCAAATGGAAATATATTTAGTGGTTATAAAAAAGTAAAATGTGGGCAGCGTCCCAACAGAAACAATCAGCCCGCTTGCCCAGAGGGCAAGTGCTAATGTATCAGAGCAGAGGAATGAATGGGGAGGAAACAAGGCTGCCTCCCATGCCCGGTCCCCAACGCCCTCTGCACGCAATAAACAAACAGTCATTTGAATTGCTCTGGTTCTCCTGTTTTGTTTTATTTTTTATTCTGCAGGATGATAAAGACCTAAAACCTGTTTCTACAGTGTTTTTATGGCTAGAGTTGTAGAAAACCGCATTTAGTCAGTTTGAATAAGTCCATTTGAATGAGTCAAATTTTTTAAAAGCCTCGGGATCCAACAGAGCTGGAAGAAAGTGGGGGTGGGGGTTAAATGGTTCATTTGAGATGTTTGCCTTCAGTAACGTGAGCAGGAAAAGCAGAACAAACGTGGGACAGGCAAGGAGGGGCCCCGGCTAACGCCGACCCTGAAGGACTCAGGGAACATGTTCAGATTCAACACCCGCTCTGAGGCAGAACTCCCTGAAGCTCTTTGACAAGCATCGTGGGCAGGAACTAAAGCATCAGGGTCCAAGGGAAACAGTTACTACACGTAGAAAACATATATGAAATGCTTCTTGTACTTCTAAAGGAAAAGCAAAGTGCATGCTAAGAACATTGGATGTCACCAGGCATGGTGGCTCATGCCTGTAATCCCAGCACTTTGGGAGGCTAAGGTGGGCAGATCACCTGAGGTCAGGAGTTGGAGACCAGCCTGACCAACATGGAGAAACCCTATCTCTACTAAAAATACAAAATTAGCCGGGCGTGGTGGCGCATGACTGGAATCCCAGCTACTTGGGAGGCTAAGGCAGGAGAATCGCTTGAACCTGGGAGGCGGAGGTTGCGGTAAGCCAAGATTGTGCCATTGCACTCCAGCCTGGGCAACAAAAGCAAAACTCTGTCTCAAAAAAAAAAAAAAAAAAAGAAAAAAGAACATTGAATATCTCAGTGTGTTGTACCTAGGATCAGTTTGATATTGATGAGAGAATGTCAATAAAATGATCACAACAACACATTATTGATCTTACCTTAGATTCTGAAATCTGTGACTCTTCATGAATTGTTACTCTATAGGCCCTGGCGCTCTCTTTTTTTCATAGCACATAGGAAAACTAAGCTGTAACAGCTCAATTCCCCCACCCCCTCCACCTCTAGTCTTCCCTTCACCACGCTTGGCCCAAAGTGTCATTAGCTTTGTCTTCTGCTAATGACAAAGGGGACACCAAGAGGGAGGGCTTTTCACCCCAGGATCCTTTTGTTCCCAGCAAGGGGCTGGAGTCAGGGAAGGGGCAAGCTCACCCCAGTCAGAGACCCAGCATTTGCAAACCGGGGCCTCTGCTGTTTTCCAAGTTGGAAAACCCTCGTGATGAGCCAGATCGTACGCAGAGATAGGATACCACTGGCCAAAGTTTCTTAACCACGCTTCATTTTTGGTTTGCATATTCACTGCCAAAGATTCTCATTGTTAAGAAGCAGTCAAAACCTCTTTATATGCATTTAAGTAAAGTGGTGTTGCTTTCTCTAATCCCTAGAAGGGAGAAAAACCAATGTTTATTAAATTCTTTTTGTTTGTTTTGCGACGGAGTCTTGCTCTCTTCCCTAGGCTGGAGTGCAGTGGTGCAATCTCAGCTCACTATAACCTCTGCCTCCCAGGTTCAAGCGATTCTTCTGCCTCACCCTCCCAAGTAGCTGGGATTACAGGCACCTGTCACCATGCCCAGCTAGTTTTTTTTGTAGTTTTTAGTAGAGATGGGGTTTCACCATCTTGGCCAGACTGGTTTGAACTCCTTACCTTGTGATAAGCCTGCGTCAGCCTCCCAAAGTGCCTCAGTGTTTATTAAATTCTTAATACGTGCTAGGTCCCCTACAAACACCATCATTTTAAACTGTCATTTTTTACCCAGTGAAGTCAGCATTATTAGTCCCCTTTTATGCTGATGGGAAATTAAGGTTCAGAGAGGGGAGAGAACTTTTCCAAGGTCACATAGCAAACTATTGATAAAGCCAGGTTTCAAGCTTAACTGTACCAGGCTTTCAAATCTTTGCTCTTGTTCTCTGTAGCATGCAGCCTCTTTCTCTATTTTCTCCTTTTCGCCCATCATTATCTTTCTCAATTCTCTTGCCTTCTTTCCTAAGGGGCGGTTCTATCAAGGACAACATCTTTCCCACACATTCTACTTATTCCTAGTGACAGGGCATTGCCCCTGAATGAGGCTCCCTGAGGGCCTTATTAAGAGCTTGGGAATTTCTGATCTGAACAATTGCAACCTGATGATGTTTTATGGCCAGGAGAAGGGATAAACCATAGCCCATTCCATGATATTTCAACCTTGCATCTCTCCTCTAGCTGTTCTTATGCTCCTTCTTGATAATAGGATGGCATTTCAGTTTCATTTTGGGTGATAAGGGCTCTGGAATGAGAGAGCCAGGTTGAAACACAGTGTCTGGCTTTGCATCAGTGACCTCAGTTTTCACATTTGTAAGATGAGGATAATCATGGATTGTTGTGAACAGCACAAGAAGCAATGTAAGTAAAGAGCTTAGTGTGGTGACTGCTCATAGAAGATGCCTCAGTAAGCATTTTCTCTCCTTTCCCTCCTTCTCTATCCCTGGAAACTGGAGACCAAGCAGGGGTGCAGAATCATTTGTCTGTCAAGGGGGTACAGTCTTGTTACAGGAAAGGGGTCCAGATCCAGGCCCCAAAAGAAGGTTCTTGGATCTCGCGCATGAAAGAATTCAGGGTGAGTCCATAGAGTAAAGTGAAAGCAAGTTTATCAAGAAAGTAAAGGAAAAAAGAATGGCTACTCCATAGATAGGGCAGCCCCGAGGGCTGCTGGTTGCTCGTTTTTACGATTATTCCTTAATAATATGCTAAACAAGGGCTTCTCCTTTTTAGACCATATAGGTAACTTGCTGATGTTGCCATGGCATTTGTAAACTGTCATGGTGCTGGTGGGAGTGTAACCGTGAGAAAGACCAGAGGTCACTCTCACCACCATCTTGGTTTGGGGGGTTTTAGCCAGCTTTTTTACTGCAATCTATTTTATGAGCAAGGCCTTTGTGACCTGTATCTTGTGTCAACCTTGTATGTCATCCTGTGACTTAGAATGCCTTAACCATCTGGAAATGCACCCTAGTAGGTATTGTCCTCATTTTACCCAGCTTTTATTCAAGTTGGAGTTGTTCTGGTTCACACACTTCTGACAGTCTGGCCTTCAGTTCAGCCATCAGCAGGCTGTCGGGGTGGTGAGGAAGCTGAGCAGGGTCAGTGGTGGTGCATGTGAGGGATGTCCTCTAGTCTTTGCCCTTTCCTCCAGCTCTGGTGGTCGAGACCCAGAATGACCACCTCACAGACTTACTGATCATGTGACTAAGACCTGGATTGGACATTGGGGGATTGTGGGAACAGAGCTGTCAGAGCTACCAAGACTGGAGCTTGTATAAAACACAACCGTGGGAGTGAAATGGGAAGAATGTGAGGGTTTTGAATTCAACCAAAAATGCTGGTGTTTGTCTCCACTGTATATCAACTTTCTCTTTGGACATGTGATTTCACCTCTCTGAGCCCCAGTTTCTCCATCCCCACATTCACTGAGCTGCTACCATATGCCAGGCACCTTTTTGCACACTTTATTTTTATTTTATATTTTTGTGGGTATATAGAAGGCGTATATATTTATGGAGTACATGAGCTATTTTGATACAGTCATGCAGTGTGAAATAAGCACATCATGGAGAATGGGGTATCTATACCCTCAAGAATTTATCCTTTGAGTTACAAAAAATCCAATTGTATTCTTTAAGTTATTATAAAATGTACAATTAAGTTATTATTAACTGTATCTTGTACACTTTTCATATATACTTTTTGTATACAAGGCTTACATTCATTAACATTCTGGAACATGTTGTCATATCCCAGTCCATTTTATGCCAATGCTTAGCATTTACTTGCTTAGCAAATAGGTAAGCCATATACTCACCCTCACATTGTTTATATTCCAGAGGTAATTTGAGGTATAAGTGGGTTATCAGGCCTAGTATATATTGTGTCTTCAATAAATATCAGTTCCCTCCTCCTGTAGCCTACCTCACCTTATTGTGCGCCATAGAGTTCAACTATTAAGTTGAATGACATAAAACTGAGCTTTAAAAAGTCAAAAACAGTAAAATTATTGCAGAAATAGTAAAGCCCATACTAAAATTCATATGGAATCTCTAGGGACCTGAAATACTCAAAACAATCTTGAAAAAGAAAAACAAAGCTGAAGGACGCACACTTCCTGATTTCAAAACCTAGTACAAAGTTACAGTAATCAGTGTGATACTGGCATAAAGACAAACACATAGGCCAATGCAACAAAATAAAGAGCCCAGAAGTAAACTTTCTTATGTGTGTGTGTGTGTGTGTGTGTGTGTGTGTGCATACATATACACACATATATAGTCAAACAATTTTTGAAAAGAGTGTCAAAGCCATTCAAAGAGGAAAGGACAGTTTTCTCAATAGATGGTGCATGGAAAAGTGGCATATCCACATGCAAAAGAACGAAGCTGGACTCATCTAACAACACCATACGCAAAAGTCAATGCAAAATGGTTCAGAGACCTAAATGTAGAACTTAAAACTATGAAACTCTCAGAAGAAAACACAGGGCAAAATCTTCATAGGCCTGGCGCAGTGGCCGACCTCTGTAATCCCAGCACTTTTGGGAGGCCAAGGCAGGGGGATGACCTGAGGTCAAGAGTTCAAGACCAGCCTGGCCAACATGGTGAAATTCATCTCTACTAAAAATACAAAAATTGGGGGGATGGTGGGTGGGCGCAGAAGGCCGGGAGGAAGGCACCGCGGGCGTTCAGGCGTGGGAAACGGTCTTCGGGTGTGCTGGTTGCCCCAGCCTACCTCAGGCATTAGAACTACAAACAAACCCTGATGCGACCTCTCCAGATTGTCCCAAGTCGGTTGATTTCCCAGCTGTATTGTGGCCTTCAGCCTTCAGCCTCCACACGAAACTGGATTTGCCTGAAATTGGCTCAGCCAAGTTCAAGTACGGCAGATTTTCGGAAGTGTTTTGCAAAATCAAAGCACATAGTCATCATCTCAGGGGCCGGTGTTAGTGCAGAAAGTGGGGTTCCGACTTTCAGAGGAGCTGGAGGTTATCGGAGAAAATGGCAGGCCCAGGACCTGGCGACTCCCCTGGCCTTTGCCCACAACCTGTCCCGGGTATGGGAGTTCTACCACTACCGGCAGGAGGTCATGGTGAGCAAGGAGCCCAACGCCAAGCACCGTGCTATAGCTGAGTGCGAGGCCCGGCTGGGCAAGCAGGGCCGGCGAGTCGTGATCATCACCCAGAACATCGATGAACTGCACCACAAGGCTGGCACCAAAAACCTTCTGGAGATCCATGGTAGCTTATTTAAAACTCGATGTACCTCTTGTGGAGTTGTAGCTGAGAATTACAGAAGTCCAATTTGTCCAGCTTTATCAGGAAGAGGTGCTCCAGAACCTGGAACTCAAAATGCCAGCATCCCAGTTGAGAAACTTCCCCGGTGTGAAGAGGCAGGCTGCGGGGGCTTGCTGCGACCTCACGTCGTGTGGTTTGGAGAAAACCTGGATCTTGCCATTCTGGAGGAGGTTGACAGAGAGCTCGCTCACTGTGACTTATGTCTAGTGGTGGGCATTTCCTCTGTGGTGTACCCAGCAGCCATGTTTGCCCCCCAGGTGGCTGTAAGGGGCGTGCCAGTGGCTGAATTTAACATGGAGACCACCCCAGCTACGAACAGATTCAGGTTTCATTTCCAGGGACCCTGTGGAACGACTCTTCCTGAAGCCCTTGCCCCTCATGAAAATGAAACTATTTCTTAAGTGTCCTGGGGAAGAAGGCAATTATATCTAAGAACCAGGCCACACGCAGAGAAGAAATGGTCTTATGGCTGGTGAGCTGAATATTGAACAATCTAAAAGTACCCTCTTATTCCCTAGCTGGAATCCAACCTGTTGATAAGTGATGGGGGTTTGGCAGTAGCAAGAGCACCCACATTCAGAAGTTACAGGACTGTAAAGTTAATGCATATTATTTGGTTTGAACTGAAAAGTAAGATATCTTTGATGTGTGTGGTTGATTATTGAGAGGGAAAAATTTAGTAAATTAGATTGTCTTAAAAAATACAAAAAAAAAAAAAAAAAAAAAATTAACCGAAAGTGGTGGCAGGCACCTGTAGTCCCAGCTACTTGGGAGACTGAGGCAGAAGAATTGCTTGAACCTGGGAGGTAGAGGTTGTAGTGAACTGAGATCATGCCACTCCACTCTAGCCTGGGCACAGAGAAAGACTCTGTCTCAAAAAAAAAAAAGTTTAATGACATTGGACTTGGCAGAGATTTCTTGGATACAACATCAAAGGCACAGACAACAAAAGAAAAACTAGACAAACTTCATGAAAAATTTAAAATTTTTTGCATCAAAAGACACTATCAACAGAGTAAAACAGAAACCCACAAAATGGGAGAAAATATTTGCAAATCATATATCTGACAAGGGATTGATACCAAGAAATCTTAAAAATCAACAACAAAAAACGCGGGATTCAAAAATGAACAAAGGACTTGAATGGACATTTCTTTTCTTTTCTTTTTTTCTTTCTTTCTTTTTTTTTTTTTTTTTGAGACAATCTCTTGCTCTGTTGCCCAGGCTGGAGTGCAGTGGCGTGGTCTTGGCATACTGCAACCTCCACCTCCTGGGTTCAAGTGATTCTTCTGTCTCAGCCTCCTGAATGGCTGGGATTACAGGCACGCACCACCACACCCGGCTAATTTTTGTATTTTTAGTAGAGATGGTGTTTTGCCATGTTGGCCAGGCTGGTCTCAAATTCCTGACTTCAGATGATCCACCTGCCTCAGCCTCCCAAAGTGTTAGGATTACAGGCGTGAGCTACCGTACCCAGCCCAACAGACATTTCTTTAAAGAAGACACACCAGCCGGGCGCGGTGGCTCAAGCCTGTAATCCCAGCACTTTGGGAGGCTGAGGCGGGTGGATCACGAGGTCAAGAGATCGAGACCATACTGGTCAACATGGTGAAACCCCGTCTCTACTAAAAATACAAAAAATTAGCTGGGCATGGTGGCGTGTGCCTGTAATCCCAGCTACTCAGGAGGCTGAGGCAGGAGAATTGCCTGAACCCAGGAGGCGGAGGTTGCGGTGAGCCGAGATCACGCCATTGCACTCCAGCCTGGGTAACATGAGTGAAACTCCATCTCAAAAAAAAAAAAAAAAAAAAAAAAAAAAATTAAGAAGACACACCAATGGCCAATAAGCAAATGAAAAGCTGCTCAACATCACTTATCATTAGAAAAATGCAAATCAAGACTATAGTGAAATACCATCTCACACACATCAGAATGGCTACTATCAAGAAAATAGAAAATAAATGTTGGCAAGGATACAGAAAAATTGGAAGTCTTGTGTACTGTTGGTGGGAATGTAAAATGGTGCAGTAACTGTGGAAAACAGTTCCTCAAAAAATTAAAAATAGAATAACCATAGAATTGAGCCATTCTACTTCTGGGTATATACCCAAAAGAATTGAAAACAGAGTCTCAAAGAGATATCTATATACCCATGTTCACAGCAGCATTATTCACTTTCACAAAAACATGGAAGCAACCCAAGTGTCTACCAATAGAGGAATGAATAAACAAAATGTGGGCTTTTCGTATAATGAAATAGTATTCAGCCTTAAGAAGAAAAAAAAGTCTGATGTGCTACAACCTGGATGAACCTTGAAAACACTATGCTAAGTGAAATTAGTGAGTCACAAAGAAAAATACTATATTATTCCACTTATATGAAGCGGAGTAGACAAAATCATAAAGATAGAAGGTAGAGTAGTGGTTGCCAGAGTTGAGCGGAAAGGACAATGACAAGCTAGGGTTTAATTTGTACAGTTTCAGATTTTTTTTTTTTTTTTTGAAACAGAGTCTCTCGCCTCATCACCCAATGGCATGGTCTTAGCTCACTGCAACCTCCGCCTCCCGGGTTCAAGAAATTCTCCTGCCTCAGCCTCTCCAGTAGCTGCGATTACAGGCGCCCACCATCAGGCCTGGTTAATTTTTGTATTTTTACTAGAGACTGGGTTTCACCACGCTGGCCAGCTGATCTCGAAATCATGACCTCGTGATCCACCCACCTTGGCCTCCCAAAGTGCTGGGATTACAGGTGTGCGCCACCGCGACAGTTTCAGTTTTACAAGATGAGAAGTGTTATGGAGATGGGTGGTGGTAACGGTTGGACAACATTATGAAGGTATTTAATACCATTGAATCGTACGCTTAAAAATGGTTAAGATGGTAAATGTGTTTTATACCACAATTTTAAAAATACATTTAAAAATGGCTAAATAGCAACCATTGTATATGCCCTAACACAGTATGGAAGGAAGAAGGCTTAATATAACGCAGAAATAGCTGGGTGCAGCGGCTCATGCCAGTTAACCCAACACTTGGGGAGGTCGATGTGAATGCATCACTTGAGGCCAGAAGTTCAAGACTAGTCTGGGCAATATGGTAAAACCCCTTCTCTACAAAAAATACAAAGATTAGCCAGGCATGCTCATGTGCACCTGTAGCCTCAGCTACTAGGGAGGCTGAGGTGGGAGGCTTGTTTGAGCTTGGGGGGAAGAGGCTGAAAGTGAGCCATGATTGTGCCAGGTAGCCTGGGCAAGAGAGCGAGGCTCTGTCTCAAAAAATAAATAAATAAAAATAAAGCAGAAATAATAACAACAACCTACCAGTGGAAGCTCGATTGGATTTGTTTTTCTTGACTTCCTAGGAAAAGTGATTCCATGCCTTGCTTTGTTAAACCTGGCTATAAAAGCAAGGCATCAAAACAGACTGTTAAATGCTCACTGAGGTAGAAAACCAAAGCCCACAGCAGTGTCCCACATTAGGAGCCAATGGATGGAAATGAGGGAATGGAAAGGTGAAACAGCAAACAGAGGAAGGCTGGCTGGTACACTGCCCGACTGGACAGCCTGCTGCAGCCACCGGCCTCAACCTGGGACAGGGAGACCTGTGGGTCCTTGTCTCTTTCCCTGAAGCCAGCAATAAAGTGACAGGCACCCAAGAGAATATACGGCCTTTTTGAACCTTGGTGAAGCACCGTCAAGGGAGATTGCCAGAAAAACATACTCTGTCCAAACGTAAGTTCCTTCCACAAAAATTGGGCAGCTCCTAGAATTTAATTCCATTAACATCTCAATGCCTCCAAACATTTGATTACCAGAGCTCATCAATGGCTGCTCTCAAGGGCAATTATCTATCATTATCAATGTATTGCCTTACCCTTTTAATTAGGATGTTAATGTCCAGTGTAAACAAAGCCTTCTTTTCTAATTTCAGCTGTGCACAATGAAAAGCCCTTTTTTTGTTTTCCATCCCCCTAGGGTTCTGTGAACTGAATTTACTCTAGTTCCTGAAGTGTGGAAAAAGTAAACAAGGTTTTGTTTGGATTCCGCCTTTCAGTTTCTTTGGACTAAAACCCAGCAAAGTGCCAGCAAGTTATCCCAAAGAAAAAAATTGTCCTGAGGTATGAAATTAGTTTCAGAGAATGTTACGAAAACAAAAAAACAAACACAAATTCAGAGGTTTTTTAATAGTTAAAGAGAAGAGAGGGGAAATGTTTGGCATATTTTCAATTGCTTTGTATTACCACAGAAATGTAAACAATTTTAAACTTATGTTAAATTTTAGCTAAACAGATATTGTGGTCATTAACAAAGGGTCCCTATGGCAGATTAAATATTTCATATGATTATATCAATTTCTGACACAGGGACTTAATCAATACAAAATTTCTGAAAGAAAGATGAGATGAAGCAAATATCAGAAACTTAAAAATATATACACATAAAGAAAGAAAAATCATCTACGTAAGTGACCTTAGTATTTCTTGGTTGTCCTTAGCCATCCTTGGAGTAGTCTGGTTAGTGAGAGTTGCCTTATCTCTGGGGAATGTGCTAATCGTTCCCAAGGTACAGGTGTCCCTCATTGGACACAGCCAGCTTAACTCTGGAAGAACCGCTTGGCACAAAGCAATCAGGCAGTGGGCATTCCCTTTGATCAGCTGTCTGTCTACGTAGAACCTACCGGAATCATCACATCTGCCTGGCCTATTCTGAACATTGTTTTGAGGCTAGCATGGGGCAAGACTTATTCAATGTTTGAAAGTCTAGGGGAGAAAATAATTTGAACAAAAAGGTCACAGTTTAGTGGTTAAATTGAGTAACTGTTGTATCCTTTCTCTCAATGTTGATTATTGAAATGATTTTTATTATGTTTATAGTAAAAAAAAATTAGTAAATAGAAAAACACATGATGCTACATAAGGTAAATTTATTTTTTGTTTTTGTTTATTATTATTATTATTATTATTTTGAGTTGGAATCTCTGTCGCCCAGGCTGAAGTGCAGTGACACAATCTTGCTCACTGCAAACTCTGTCTCCCAGGTTCAAGTGACTTCTCCTGTCTCAGCCTCCCAAGTAGCTGGGACTATAGGCATCTGCCACCATGCCCGGCTAATTTTTGTAGTTTAAGTAGAGACCGGATTTCACCACATTTCAGATTAAACCTCTGACCTCAGGTGATCCACCCACCTTGGCCTCCCAAGTGCCGGGATTACAGGCATGAGCCACCACGCCTGGTCCGTAAGGTAACTTTTAAAAATCCTATTTTGATTGGCCCACTTAAAGAGGTTTTACAGGCCGGGCGCGGTGGCTCACGCCTGTAATCCCAGCACTTTGGGAGGCTGAGGAGGGTGGATCACGAGGTCAAGAGATCGAGACCATCCTGGTCAACATGGTGAAACCCCGTCTCTACTAAAAATACAAAAAATTAGCTGGTCATGGTGGTGTGTGCCTGTAATCCCAGCTACTCAGGAGGCTGAGGCAGGAGAATTGCCTGAACCCAGGAGGTGGAGGTTGCCGTGAGCCAAGATCGCGCCATTGCACCCCAGCCTGGGTAACAAGAGCGAAACTCCATCTCAAAACAAAAAAAAAAAAAAAAAGAGGTTTTACAATGGTTAATTCTTACACTGATTTCCATTTGTAAATAGAGTCCTGGTTAATAAAGGGTAAACACATAAAGGCACTCAAAAAAAAAATCCATA